TATTGCTCAAGCCAAATAATTTACAAAGAATAAGAGTGGGGATTGGGAAAAATGAGTATTTTATGATTGGCTTTTCGCAAATATTAAAATGAATATTATATGTGTTGTGTTAGAAAGTAATGCTGTATTAATTCTCTTAAGAAGTGTGTTAAATACAGTTTTAGGTTATAAAAAATGTTAAAATATAAACGATGCTATATAGGATACTTTTTTAAAAGAAAGGACTTGCAGCAAGATAGCAGCCACAGGACACCTAAATCTTTCAGAGAAAAAGAATTTATTGCCCTCTTATCAGAAGAAAGGAACTTCTTCCCACCTCAAAGGCGCCGTTAAGATTCAGACCAGACAGAATCCTCCTTTTGAATGGAATTTATGCATCATGTATGAAGTGTATGAATATGCAACAGGCTATTGCTTTTAAGGGTTAATCCTTTGTTAACGGGTGTCATTTTTCAGACAGAAAAAGGACACAGGAAGGACACTGCCCAGAAAAAGGTACCCAGACGTCTGTAACTCTTTGGTTCTATTGTCTCATATTGTCCTAATTCAAATTGTCTGAATTATTATTACTCTAATTGTATTACTATTTTTATAACCATTTTATTACTTTTAAACTTTTTTTATAACCATTTATTACTATTAAACTTTTAAAATTAAAAAAAACAACAAGCGATTGGCACTTTTCACAGCAGTTCTCAGCCGCAGTCCCAATGTAGCAGGACACGGCCTGCCGGCTCCCGCACGGCATTACACAAAGGAGCGGCTGCGCTGCTCCTCTTCCTCCTTTGCCTCTCATATTCCAACTGTTTTAGCAAGTCCATAATTGCTGACCAAGGCTTTATAACACCGATGTTCTCACCATTAGAGGCTGCTGCAAATATATATTGTCCAGCTCCCTCCCAAAAGTGCAAATCTAAAACGGTCCCTTCTGATACATCCAGCTGATGGCTTTCACACCATGTGAACCAAGCTTGTAGGGCTCATTCATTGTAATCAATCCCTCTCCTTTTAAAGAAGAAAATCTACAGAGTTTTCTGGTGCTGACATCCAAGCTCCCATGGTCTCCTAGGTGATTGCAGTCCACAAAAACAGGGCTAGAAACCTCACAGCACTTTCTGCTGTCTATTTAGCAAAGTTCTGTTTTTTCACCATGCTGGCTGTCCCGCCGATTCCCAGTCTTATGCTGTATTTATTCCGGTTCCCACACTGATTCCCAGCTCTTACACAGCTTGTAACCCAGTTCTACACTAATTCCCAGCTTTACGCTGTAATATTCCCGGTTCTAAACACCGTACCGGCTTTTTGCCATCTGTCTCCTTTGCTCTGTGCCAGGTTATGGCTGAGTCCCGATCACTTGGAGGTCACCACGTGTTAGGTCATGTGCAAGGGGAGAGGGCACAGGAGACGGAGACCACTCACCCCCAGTTTCATGTGGCAACAGAGGCAGTTTATTTCCCAAGCCCCCCTTATACAGTGCATTTGAAAGATTGGGTCTGGATGCTCTCATTCATTTGAACTCCACGCCTCTTCTGGTCCTGGCCACTGAGATGGCTGCAGCCTTGGGAGATATTTAATTGGACAAGACCCTTTTCAATCATGGTCACAAATATGTTTAGGGGCACACATACAGACAGAAAGAGTCAGTGCAAGCAAGGTACCTGTGAAAAATTCCCCTTGGGGGTCACTGAAATCCTCACTTCAGATGCTCTTGCATGTCACACTGGGTGAAGGATGGGCGCTGTGGGGCCGGATTTCTTTGGCCCAACTGGCTTCCAGCACCATCGGCGAGAGTGGGCTGTCCCCAGGTAGCTGTTAAACTGGGGTGCAGCCGTAGGGCACAGCTGCTCTACGGCACAGGTGGACTGTGCTGGGGATAGGACTGCACCGAGGGCAGGGACAAGGAACAGGGAAAGGTCTTCTGTATGTTTTGCAAAGGGGCTCATTCCCTGGAGGGCCAGGGACAGAAAGACACCCATGGCATGGGTGATGCTGGCCTGATGTCAGGCACCAAGACACCAAAGCCACTCTGTCCCTGCCCCCTGCAGGGGCACAGGGGAGAGAAAATTTAACCAAGAGTTCCTGGGTCAGGATAAGATGAGAAGAGATTCCTCACTAAACACCAAAATGGGCATCACAGACCCAGCCTGGGCACAGGGAAGGAATTTATTACCAACCAAATCAAACCAGGACAAGGAGAGAGGAAATAAATCTCTCTAACACCTTCCCCCTACCTAACACAGGTGTAACCAGGGCTCTGCCAAACAGGGATCACTGAGGATCATCCAGTGTGGATCTTCCCATGGTGGATTGTTGTATTGCACTAAAGATGGAGCTGGAGCAGCACACAAAGCTCTTCCAGCACTCAGAGACTCACAGGGCTTTCCTTACAGGTGCCTCTGTTGGTGTTGGGTCAAGTGAGAGCTCCTGGAGTAGCTCTTCCCACACTCAGGACACTCGTAGGGCCTCTCCCAGGTGTGGATGCACGGGTGGAGTTGCAGTTAACGCCCTTCCTGCAGGTGGGGCAGAGGAAGGGCCTCTCCTCCTTGTGAATCTGCTCATGTATGAGGAGATGGGAGCTGGTCCAAATCCTCTTCCCACACTCAGAACACTCGTATGGCACCTCCCCGCTGTGGATCTTGCAGTGATTGATGAGGCTGGAGCTCTGCCCAAAGCCCTTCCCACATTCCCCACACTCTTAGGGCCATTCCCCCTGTGTGGATCACCTGGTGGTGGTTCAGGTCGCAGCTCCGAAGCTCCCTCTGAAGCCCTTCCCACATTCCAAGCACTTGTAGAGGTTCTCCCCACCCTGAGGCTTTTCCACCAGCTCCGAGCTCTGGCTGGATCTCCCTCTGGCTGCCTTCCCCAGCACATGGAGGGTCTTTCCTCCTCACAGCTCCCCGGGCTGGGTTTGCAGCCCCTCCTTGTGTGGGATCTCCAGGGCTTTTCATCCCCATTAGATTCCTGTGCTGTGCCGTGGAGCTGCTCAAAACAGCCTCTTCCATGAGGTTCTGCCATGGGGATTTGTCTTTTCTGGTCTCTGTCTGCAGTTCAGTGCCTGGGATAAGGAAAGAAAAGGAGAGGAAGGAATGAAGAAGGACAGAATGAGGAAAGGAAGGAGGGTGGACAAGGAGAGGATGGGATTTGCCTCCGTGCCAGAGGGAGGGGGAAGGAGATCCACCCAATGCATCCCCGGCAGGATGGTGCCAGCAGTGGGGTTATCCTGCAGCCAGGGGTGATGCTGGGCTGGGAGATGGAACAGAGGGGAGGGGAAAAGGAGCAGTGACTTCCTCCTCACCTGCCTCAGTGTCCCATGCCATCTTCCTTTTCTTCAGAGCCTCCTCCTCCTTTTCCATCTGGACAAAGCTTGGGATTGACAAATCCTGGCTTGGGAGAAAAACAACAGGTGAGCACCTTGGTCCTTCTGATCAAGTGCAGCTCCAGAAGTCACTGCCCCATTTACTGGCCCAGACCCTGCTCATCTCCAGCCTCCCCCACCCCTCCAGGCTGCTGGGTTCCCCAGCTCCGGAATTGCTTCTCCCTGCTCTCTCACTCCCAGTGAGCCCCAAAACCGACCTCACGCCTGTACCCCTGCTGGTACCAGGCAATCACCATGTGGGTCCTCCAGGACCCCCCCAAAGGGGCATTTGCAGCTCAGCTGATGGGTTCTGTGAGATCCAAACATCCCCTCCCTTCCAAAAAGCCCTCCTGGACACTCCCTGAGAGATGTGGGACGAGCTCCATCTCTCCGCTCACCTGCAGGATGTGGAGGGGGGATTGATGCTGCCAGGACCAGGGGGAGCTGCGGACTCAGTGGGTGGGCAGGGGAACCGCATGGTTCTCCTCCTGCTCCTCCTCTTCCTGGTCCTGTTCCTGCTCCTCCTTTTCCTCCTCCTTTCCTCCACCTCATCCTCTCTCCCTCCTCTTCCTCTTGCTCCTCCTCCCTGCCCACCCCAGATCCCCCTTTCCCCACCACGTCTCCCCCACAGTCACAGCACAACCAGCTTTTGGGTGGAGGGAACCCCCCATGAGCCCCCCACATTAGGCAGGGGGCTTGGGGACCTGCCTAGTGTGGATCCATTCCCCCCCAGAGCCTCAGGGAATCACTCCAGGGATCAAGTGATGGGGACACAAAGGGATCCTCATAGAATTGCCCTTTTTCTGTTCCATCCCCACCTTTTTCTCCCCTCTCCCATCATTCCCCCAAACTAAAGATCCCTCCCAACTCAGTTTTGGGGTCCCATGCCTCCCCCACTTTCTTTGCATCCTCTTTTGCCCTGCTCTTCTGCCCCTTTGCCATCGCCCTTCCAGTCCCAACCCTCACCCTCGTGCTTGGTTTTGGGGAAACCAGGCACCTCTGGCTCAGTCTGGGGGGTCACATCCCCCCTTTCCCTGAAATCTGGCAGCTCCTGGCTGCTTTTTCCTGGGAGGAATCCCTCAGTTTTGGGACTTTTGGGGTGCAGTTTTGGAGGGAGAGAGCTCTCTCTGGCTTTCCCCTCCCTGTTGTGGCCTCTCAGCTGCCCCTGACACCCTGGGGGTGCTGGGATTTTCTTCCTGGGGACAAAGATGTTCATTCCCTTCCAGGAGCCCAATGCCCGGCTGGGGCTCCAGTTCAGGGGATCCTTGAGTAACTGCCCCAGAACCTCCCCCATGGTCTCCCAGCACAGCCAGAGCCACTTGGCCTGGGGTCCCCAAAGGCCTCAGCAAGCCCCAGGTCCCTCCCAGGAACCCTCAACTCCCTCCAACCCAGCATCCTCCACATCCCCTGCAAGTTCCCCCATGGCACCAGCCATGGCCATGTCCCCACATGTCACTGGCCATGTCCCACCATGTCCTCACCCATGGCTGTCTCCCCACCATGTTTCCATCCCTGTCATGGTTCCCCACATCTCCATCCATGCCCATGTCCCCTATGTCCCCATGAATGGCTATGCCCCCCTCCATGTCCATGTATCCCCATGTTGCTCTCCATGTCTCTGTCCCACTATGACCACACCAATGTCTTAGTTCGATGTCTTTATTTTTACCCCTGTGTTGGATATTTTAAAGGGACGGAGAGAAATAAAAGAAAATCAAGTTTAAAAGAAAAGAATTTCCGTGTCCGTGCCAGCTGAGGTTCCACCTGCTTGGGTGGGAGGGAAGAACCTTTTTTGGTGGAGTTTCCAAAAATTGTCTCCAAAATTTTGGCCTTTTCCTCACTTTTTCATCATCTGCCTGTGGAAGACGCCCTTAGGCAACAGGAAATTAAAATCATGGAATCACTGAAGTTAGAAAAGACCTCCAAGACCATCAAGAACTCCTTGATGCCACCAGAAGATAGGACTGAACACAAAAGATGTTCTGGGGTTGAAAGTTAAGAAATCTACTCTCCCCAAGGAATTCCCATTGTTGGTCTACATCCTGATGGATGTTCTGCTCCCTGCATTCGTCCAAGTACCCAGAGGGAGCCAGGAAGATGTGGAGCCCCCCAGCCAGGTGTTATCCCAACAGGCATCACCAGGGCACTGCCCAAAAATGGTCCCTGGGGATCATCCAATGTGAATTCTCTGATGGGGGATGGAGCTGGAGATGTGCACAAAGCTCTTCCCACACTCAGGGCACTCACAGGGCTTCTCTTAGTGGTGACTCCGTTGGTGTTTGGTCAAGGCTGAGCTCGGGGAGAAGCTCATCCCACACTCCCCACACTCTTAGGGCCTCTCCCTGGAGTGGATGCGCTGGTGGGAGACAAGGGCGAATTTGCGGTTGAAGCCCTTCCTGCAATCGGGGCAGCGGAAGGGCCTCTCCTCTGTGTGAATCCGCTCATGTACGAGGAGAGTGGAGCTGATGTGAAACCTCTTCCCACACTCAGGACACTCGTAGGGCCTCTCCCCAGTGTGGGTGCGCTGGTGTTTTCTCAGGTCTGAGCTCCACCCATAGCTCTTCCCACATTCCAAGCAGGTGTAGGGCCGTTCCCCCGTGTGGATCCTCTGGTGCTGGATCAGGTGGGATCTCTGGTTGAAGCTTTTCCCACATTCCCCACATCCATAGGGCTTTTCGCCAGTGTGGATCATCTGGTGCCGGATCAGGTCAGAGCTGTCCCTGAAGCTTTTCCAACAATCCCCACATTTGTAGGGCCGTATCCCAGTGTGGATCACCTGGTGCTGAATTAGAGCAGAGCTCTGTCTGAAGCTCTTCCCACACTCCCCACACTTGTAGGGCCTCTCCCCAGTGTGGATCCTTTGGTGCTGGATCAGGTTGCACCTCTGGCTGAAACCCTTCCCACATTCCAAGCACTTGTGTGGCTTCACCCTGCCATGAGGCTTCTCCACCAGCTCCAAGCTCTGCCTGGATCTCCGGCCGCCTTCCTGGCTCAGGGGGGCTCTTTCCTCCCTGCAGCTCCCTGGGCTGGGTTTGCAGCCACTCCTTGTGCGAGATCTCCAGGGCTTCTCCTCCTGTTCCATAAGGCCAAGCTTTGGGAAAAAAAAATCCTGGTTTGGGTTAAAAAAAAACCAAAAAACAACAGGGTGCCTTGTACTGGGAGTTCCTCTTTGCCCAACTTCATCTCAGAAACTAATTGGATATCTTGTGCCTGTAAGAACCTCCAAAACACCGAGATTCAGCACAAAAATTCTCCCAACACCAAGACACAGATCAAAAACTCCCCAAACATCATTATTGAGCAAAAACCCCTCCAAAATATAAAGATTCAGCCCCTACAAAAAACCAAAGCACCAAAATTTAGCCCAAGAAAGCTCAGAAACACCAAGATTCACCCCTGGGAAAATCGTGGATCCCAATCCCCTGTCACCTGCTGCATGTGGGGGGGGGGCAACGCTCCTGGGGCTGGGGCCAGAGGCTGCAGATACAGGGAGAGGTGGAACCTTGTGCTGCTTCCTCTTCCTGTTCCTCCTCCTGTGTCCCTACTCTTCCTCACACTCCTCTTCCTCCTGCTATTCCTCCTCTTCCTCCTGCTATTCCTCCTTCTCCTGCACAATCCCACCTTCTCCCATGTGCAGGGTTTCACCATTTTGTTCCTCAACCCTGCTTCTCCTTCCCTTCTCCTCCTGCCCCAGGCCCAGCACCCGCTGCCGGCTCCCTCTTGCCCCCAAACCCACAGCATCCCACGGCAGGGGCAGGGATGGAGCTGGGGCAGGTCGGGCTGGGGCAGCGCTGGGCTCCCGGCCGCTCCCGCCCGCACTCGGTCCCCACTGCAGCCGCTCCTGCCAGGACAGCGCGAGGGGGCCCGGCCTTGGCGCTGCCCCACTCCCACCTCCCCAAATTCCCCAGGTGGGGAACGCTGGGAGCTGCGGGTCTGCCTGGCAACTGCTGAGTCATCAGAGCCGCGTGCTCTGATTGGCTGAGCGCTGCCTGAGGGCTGGAGGTTGGAGCTGCAGGAAGGGGGGGGGACACCCTGCTCCAGGGGGGATATCCCACAAACGGGGGACCCCTACAAAAGGAAAAAGAGGAAAGTGTCTTTAGAAAGAGAAGCTGTGAATGTGATTGGACATAGGGCCAGGGACTTGTACAAAAGGAAGTGACAGGAGAATCCATCAGTTTCAGAAAATGTTATTAATTGATGACGCTGGTGCTCAGCCACGGTCCTGCTGAATTTATGAACTTTGAGGAAAACAACAAAGACTTCACAGAGTCATGAATATCGTTTGCTATACAAAAGTAGGGAGCATATTAAGGGGAGATGTAGTAAGTGGATGTAGGTAGGTGTAAATGGGTATAGTAGAGTCTGTACCTCTCAAGTACTTGAGCCAATGGGGAAAGGGAGATGTGGCCAGGAAATTAGGATGAACAGGAGGCTGTTTCCTTCAACAACAGGAGAGACCACATGGGAAATGTTCCATGGCATCTCCCTTTTTTATAAATTTAATTACTTTTACAGGACTCCTCTGTCTGCTTTGTGGACAGAATCTCTGGTGATGTCAATTTTTCCACACACCCTGGGACTCGTCTGGAATTCCTTCCACCATCTGGGGCAGTGGGCAGTGAGTGCAGCTGAAGGTGCCTCACCCAGTTTGGGTGATCGGCCCCCTTGGGGGCGGCAGCACCGGGGACTGATTGGGTACCTGAGAGTGACCAGGGGACAGACGAGTGCACATCAGGGGGGGCTGTGAAGAGTCAGCAGGGAGAGAGCACTGAAAATCTCATCAGTGAGTGCACTGGGATCTTTGGGGAGTGAGCATGGCAGGGCACCCATGGAGGGAAGAAAAGGGAAAGCCAGGAAGGGGTCCTGTGCCAAAGGGATGATGATCCCAAAATATCTCTGAAGGGTCCCTTGGGAGAAGGGTGAGGTAGATTGCACACTCCCTCAGAGGTAATTAAGGACTTGGACACCCAGGGGGGCAATAAGAGAAGTGGAGAAGGGATTTGGACAACAGGGGATGGATGGCAGTAGTGTGCTGAGAAGAGACTGGGTGAAGGGGAGTGTGCAGGAATATGGTTAAGACAAGATGCAGCAGGAGGAATCTATGTGGTATAAAAAAGGATGATGAAAAAGAGGAGGAAGAGAAAAATACTGAGGACTGGGATGTTTTTAAGCAGGGTCTTATCCTCAACATTTGCCAGCTGATCATTTGCATCCCCGGTTTCCAGGAGAGGAAAACAAGGAGGTCAGGGTTTCAGGGGGTTTCTCTGTGGGGGGCAGCGGCAGCACCGGGCGCAGAGGTGCGGGACCGGGAGCACGGGCTGGGGGCCTGGGGGGAGCTGCGGGGCCGGGCCGGGGCTGTGGGGCAGCCGGGGCTCAGCGCCGGGCGCTGCCTGACCCCACCAGCCCCGGGCAGGGCCGGCAGTGGCCCCCGGCCCCCAGGAGGCTGCGGGACGCCCCGGCCGCTGCCCGGCCCCGTGGAGCTGCCGGCCCTGCCCGCCGGGGGGGCGCCTTTGGACACTGCGGCAGGACAGGGACCGGCTCTGGGATACGGGCTGGGGAGGGCACCCTGAGCACAGGGACGAGGAGCAAGGAACACCTGGGAAATGTGGATTATACATGGAAGGACTGAGATTTTCTTTTAAAGATTTTGTTAGGGTTATTGGAGATACAAATGATTTTGCAGAAAGCTCAGCAGCTCTCAGAGGATGAGCACCCACAGGCACTGAGGGGGGCTGCAGGAGGGGCAGAAGAAGGCCCTGCAGCACTTGGGCACAAAGGCCCAGCAGGTGAATGCAAGAAGGGAGCAGCAAAAGGCCAAGCTGAAGGCAAAGGCCAGGGCAGAGTTCCTACAGCCCCTGAGGGATCAACCCCAGGGCCCAAGGGGGCCCCAGCACCCAGGGCACGGGCTCGGCCACAAGCACCCGGCAGAGGCATTGCCCTCCTCACCAGGGGACAGCCCACCCAAACAGCCCCTGGCAAGGAATCAGGGCTCCAGCTGCAGGGCACAAGGTCACTGCAAGCACAGACAGCAGCACCCTCAGGACCAGCAAGTCCACCCCTTGATGGACATGGATTGGCAGGGCTGTCACAGCTCCCATCACACCAGGGACCCTCCACACTGGAGCCCTTGAGAACATTCAGGTGGGTCTGCATTGAGAGGAGGCCTCTCCTGATGGACACAGGGGCCTCTCAATCCACTCTGAATCTTAGACCTAATGGGCAAAATAGGAAAGGCATGGTTTAATTATTAAGGGAATAAGTGGGAAAGATGAGCAGGTATGATTTCATCAACCACTATGAGGAGATGTAGGGGATACGCTTGAAATAAATTAATTTCTTTTTCTTCCTACTGTGATTGCAATTTACTGGGAAGGAATTTGGTGGCTGGATTTTTATATTGTAAAAGGTGATACAGAGGCTTATGATGTTGTACTTATGTGTCAAATGTCTGGCAAGGCCTATGCTGAAGTGAACCCACAAATGTGGACAGCCCCAGGGAAAGAGGGAAAATTAGATATGGGGTGCATATGTGAGTATATGTGAGTCACGCCCTGGAAGAGAAGCTTTAGAAATGCAAATTAACACTGCTGGGCAAAGCCTGGACAATGTACCTGGGGCAGGAATTGGGCTGATTCCCTCTGCCCCTCACCCCAAGCTCTGCCTGCTTGCACTGATGGAATTTGCACAGCTCAAGGCAGAGCCCAGGGTGAGGATATCTGACCCTGCAACAGAAACGGGTGAAGCTGCACAGGGAAACAGCAAATGGAGAATGTTGGGAAAACTTCACTATAAATAAATGGGGGGTAATCATCCCTCTGCCCACTCCAACATGTGCTGTCACTGTCTCTATGTTATATAGGATGTATTAGAGCACTGAGATGTTCTGGCTATCACAAGTTCAGGGAAATCAGTTGGGAATCCAAGTATTTCATGATTTAAGTAGAGAAAAGTGGTCATTTGATGCAGTCTTGGCTGAAGGGAGTGCCCAAAAATGGAGAAAAGATGAACGGCCAGCAGAACAAATCCTACAACACCATGCACCAGCCTTTGGGAACCCAAACCAATTCATATCAGGAGCCACAGAACCTATTTCTCATTTCAATGGCATCATTAGATTACAAGCTGCCCTCGGAATAACCAACCAGACAGCTCCAAATCCTGACCTTCCTGCTGAGCAATCCACTGAAATGAGGAACACAACATTTCACCATGGGATGGGATCAGATCATCTGTTAGCAGAAAAAGGAGGAGTTAATGAAAAATTAAATGACTCAAACTGCTGTTGGCAAATAGATGACAATGGAAAAGTGCTGAAACAGATAACAAAGGAAACAAGAAAGCAGCTCATGCACCAATGCAAACGTGGAAAGGAGGGAATGGGACACGGTTTCATGGCTCCCTGGCAGACCATGGGTTAAACGAATGCTGTTTCTCCTCTGATGTGCTACAGCAACTCTCATCTTTTTACCATGCTCCACACCTTGAGAGTGCAGCTCATTCAGCAGGTGAGCGCGGGGATGCAAGTGGCAGCCAGGCCTCCTGATCCAGAAACGGCTACAGAAGGACAGGGAATGAGGGCACTGAGAATAATCTCAAAAGCAAAGAGGACCCAGGAAGAAAAAACAGTCAATGAGTCAATCTGCTTGGAGATAGGGCCAGGGACTTGTAGAGAAGGAAGTAATGGGACAAGCCATCAGTTTTAGAAAATGTTAGAAATCGACACGGAAAGTTCCTCACAGTCCTGCTAAATTCCTGAATTTCCAGAAGAGTAAAGACTTAACAGGGCCGTGAATATCGGCTGTTCTACAAAAGGGGGGGTGCACATTAACGAGGACATGCAGTTGGCGGATCGGGAGGTCTGAACCTTCCAAGTACCTCAGCCAGTGGGCAAAGGGAGAGGGAGATGAGGCCGGGAAAATGAGGATAAAAAGGAGGCCGCGAACTACAATGGCAGAGAGCACACGGCAAATGCCCCACGGCCTCTCCCTCTGCTCAGCAATAAAGTCACTTTTACAGGACTCCTCTGTCTCCTCGGGGCACAGAAACCTCCGGCCATGTGAATTTCCCCGCACAGCCCCGGGCACGGGGCAGCCGCCTCTGTCCCAGCCACAGGAACCGGGCCGAGCCAGCGCTGCTCCGGCAGCGGCTCCTGCCGAGGCAGCGGCCGCAAGGAGACCGCGGGCAGGGGATGCCCGAGAGAGGCCCCGAGCCCCTGGGAAGCCCCTGCAGAGCCATGGAAGCGGCTCCTGGCGGCACCTGTGAGCCCGGGGGGGATCCTCGGAGCAGCCCGTTCCCGAGGGACCGTGTCCCGTGGGAGGGACCCCAGGCTGGAGCAGGACGAGGATTCCTGTCCCTGAGGGGAGGCTGTGACATGACCGGGCTCTGACCCCCATCCCCTGCGCCTCTGGATGGGGAGAAGGGAGAGAATGCAGGATGGAGTTAAGCCCGGGAAGGAGAGAGAGGTGGGGGGAGGATATTTCCGTAGGAATTATTTCAGTTCTCATTCTCTTGCCCTGCTATGTCTGATAATAAATTCAATTGATTTCCCCAAGTCAAGTGTGAGAGGAATGATGGATTTTGTCCTTACACACAGGCTGTGGGTCTGCTGGTAGATCAAACCAGCACTGAGAGATAAAAGAAACAATGGGAAAGATTCTACTGATTGATGAACGGGAAAATGTATTTGCTTTTACAAACAAACTTTAGGTTTGCTGATAAATGAAATTGAACTTCGAAAGATGAAAGAAACAATGAGGGAAAACCCTAAATACCATAAGAATTAAAAATTAAAAGGGACTGTTATACATTAGAGGGAAATTATCAATATCAGGCCTATCGGAAAGCCTGAACCTCTCACGTACCTCAGCCAATGGGGAAAGAGAGAAGGGAAATGCGGCCGGGAAACTGGGATAAAAAGGGAGGCTGTGTCCTCCAAAAACTGGAGAGACCCCAGGGGAATGCCCCATGGCCTCTCCCTCTATTCGAATAAAGTGAAAGGACTCCTCTGTCTCCTTTTGGGACATAAACCTCTGATGTTTATGGATTAATTTTCCTGACAAGTGATTGAATTGTCCTCATCCTTACCCAGACCCTCGAGCCTTTCCTTACGTGCTCTGTTCCCTGCCCAAGGGGAGGAGGGAAGTGACAGAGAGGTTTTGGCCTCTCTCCAGCATCCCCGGCTCCGGCCTGGGATCCTGCCGGGGCTGCAGATGGGTCCCTCCTCCGTCCCGCACTCACCCCAGCTCCCAGCGCCCTCAGGGCCCGGTCACGCCGAGCTCCGGGCGGTTCGGGGCAGCAGCAGCGGCTCCTTGGCCTCCTACCCGGGCCGGGCCCAGCTCCAGCGGCGCTCCTCAGCCGCGGCTGCCGGGAAATGCCGGAGCTCGGGGAAAGGGAGACGAGGCCGGGCCGTGTGCGGAGCTCGCCCCTCGCTGCGATTGGCTGATTCTGCCGTCCCTTCTGCTTCTGGCCGCTGATTGGTCAGAGCCGGGCTAAGCACGGCCCCCGGTGCCGCCCTGAGGGCGCCCCTGGCTCGGCAGAGCCGCCATTAGCGGAGCGTCCGTGCGGGCCCGGGAGGGGCGGCAGCGGCCGGAGCCTGGTGAGGCGGCGGCGGCGGAGCTCGGAGGCGGCCCCAGCGCAGCCTCCGGGGACGGGGCAGCCCCCTCTGTCCCAGCCGCAGGAACCAGGCCGAGCCAGCGCTGCTCCGGCAGCGGCTCCTGCCGAGGCAGCGGCTGCAAGGAGACCGCGGGCAGCCGCTCCCGCAGCGCCCTCACGCCAGCGGCAACACGCGCCGGACACGGCACAACGAACCCGCCTGAGCCCCCTGCCGCCCCCGAGGCCCGCAGCGAGCCCCGAGCCCCCGCACAACCCAGCGCGCCTCCCACCTGCGTTGCGGCCGCCTCCCAGCTCCGCCGCCGCCTCACCGGTGGGTCCCGGTTACCCCCTGGATGATCCCGGTCGCTCCCAGTATGTTCAGAATCACTCCCGGTAGGATCGCAGTTGCCCCCCAACACGGTCCCAGTGGTCCCAGTCATGCCCTGTATGGTTCCTTTCACTCTCAGTCCCTCTCAGTAAGAGCCCAGTGGGGCCCCAGGTCACTTCAGTATGAGCCCAGTCACACCTTACCCGATGCCATTTGCCCCCGCTGTGGTCCCAATTGCTCCCAGTATAAGTCCAGTCACCTCCAGTACGATCCCAGTTACTCCCAGACACTCCCAGTACTATGCCAGTCACTCCAAGTGACCCCATCAGTCCCAGTATGATCCCAGTATGATCCCAGCATGGGCCAGCTGCTCCCAGTATGATCCCAGTTGCTCCCTGCATAATTCCAGTTTCTCCTCTTCACCCCTACTACAGACCTGATCACTCCCAGTATAATTCCAGTCAGTCCCAGGATGATTCAAACCACTCCCAGTCTCTCCCAGTATATCTCAATTGTCCCCTGCATGCTCCCAGTTGCTCCCAGTAGCCCCCAGTGTGGTCCCAGTATATCCCAGTATGATCCCTGGTGCCCCAGTTCTGCTTCCAGTGGGTTCTTTTCCCAGTCTGTCCCAGTCTGTCCCAGTCCTTCCCCAGCAGCTGCTGCCGTTTCCCAGATTCTGCCCCCCCCACCCCATTCCCAGGCATTGGGACCCCCCTGCACCCCCTTATCCTGCACCAACACCCCCTGCACCCCCTTTCCCGGGTATCCTCCTCTCCCAGCCCCTGGATCCCCCGTTTCCGGGACCCTGGGGACCGCCGGGCCCCCATTCCCGGCCAGCCCGGGCACCTCAGCCCCAGCCTCCCTTTGCTGGGAAACCCGGCCTGGGCACGGGGCTCTGCGGCTGCTCTGGGATTTATGATCCCCCAGAAGAAAGGGAGAGAACAGCAGAGGGAGGGAGAGAAGGAGATTGGGAATCAGGGATCGGGTCCCAGCGCCCAGCCCTGCTCCGCCGGGGGTGGGACCCGCACCCGCAGGAAAAATTGGCTCCGCTGCTCCCGATGCTTGCCCGGCTTTGGGCCGAGCCCAGCGGGGTCCGGGCAGAGTTTGAGCGCAGGGCCGGGAGCTCAGCACAGCCCGGCCCGGGGGTCCCGCAGGGCGCGGCCCTGGAGGGTCCCAGACGGATCCCCGAGGGATCCAGAGGGGTGCCAGGAGGGGATCCAGGTGAATTCCCTGGAATTCGCCCTTTCCCCATCCCCCTTTTCCCCTCCCCCCGCGCTCCCTCGGGCACTTTCGCTTTCGCGTCTCTCCAGCTGCGCCACAGCCGCGATCGGGGTCGGCTGCGATGGCGCCAGCGCTGGGGCTGGGGGTGCTCTGGGGGCTCCTGGGGCTCCTGGGGAACCCAGGGTGTGCGACCAAAGGTGAGCGGGACCCCCCGAAACCGGGAACCCCCTGAACCGCAATTCCCGAGCACCGGTAACCCTCTGAACTTCCATTTACGGGCACCGGGAACCCTCTGAACCTCCATTCCCGGGCAGGGAACCCCCGTGAACCCCCATTTTGGGTCCTGTGACCCCCCCTTCCCCCCCCTTATCCGGCACTGGGATTCCCCGCACTCCCGTCAGTGCTCTGGGACCCCCTGCACCCTCATTCCCGGCCATCCCGCCCTTTCCAGATCCCAGACCCGCCCCTTTCCTCGGCTTTTGGACCCTCAGCTCTCCCAAATTTCTGCGTCCCCCCCGTTCTCCATTCCCGGCGCTTCCTGGAAGGGGTTCCAGGGGTTCCCCGAGGGTCCCCCGGAGGTCCCAGGGGGTCTCAGCGAGGATCCAGTGGGATCCAGATGAATTCCCTGGAATTCCCCTTTTCCCCGTCTCGCTTTCCCTTCTCCCAAGCTGCGTCCCGGGGATCCGCCCGCCTCTCCCAGCCCCAGAGCCCCCTTTCCGTGACCCAGGGACCCCCTGGAGCCCCATTCCTGCCTTTCCCAGCTCCCAGACCCCACTTCCCTCAACACCAGGGACCCCTGGACCCCCTTTGGTGGGCACAGGGACCCCCTGGTTCCCCCATCCCGCCCCTCCCAGTCCCTTCCTTGAGCCTTGGACCCTTCCCGGCTCTCCCGGTTCCCATTTCTGCTCCCCCCAAATCTCCATATCCCCCCAGTTCTCCACTCCCTGCGTTACCTGTACGTGGCAGTGTCAGAGCCCAGCCCGGGGATCCCCCAGTTCATGTCCATTGGGTACCTGGATGGGATCCCCTTCACGCGCTTCGACAGCGAGCGGGGCTGGGTGGAGCCGCTGACGCAGTGGATAAAGGATGGAGCCGAGCAGGAGTATTGGGAGAGGGAGACCCAGATCAGTGTGAAGAACCAGCACATCAATCTCCATTCCCAAATCCCCACAGGAATTCTGCTCCCACCTTTGCGCTCCAGCTCCTTCTGCCCATATCCATTCTGGAGTCATTCTGGGCATTCGTGCTTCAGGTAATTCGTCCAATACTCAGCAATGGTCCCTTCCTGTTCCCAGGGCTCAAGATCTCGAAGTTCCCTGGCCATGACCATGGCCATGACACAAGCACAAGATGGCCGTGAGATGAAAGTGACCATGAGTGACACAACCCTGAAATGACCATGACCATGGGATGGCCATGACTGTGACCATGACCATGACACAACCACAACCCTGACTATGAGATGATTTAGACCAAGAGATGACCGAGTGTTTGCCATGGCACAACCACAGCCTTGAGGTGACCCTGACATGATCAAGGCCATGAGGTGACAATGAAGTGACAATGACATGATCATGAGATGACCATTACGGTGAGATGACCCTGAGCATAAATTTGATGGTGATCAGGAAATGACTACGACATGACTATGACCATGACCATGACATGACTGTGGCCTTGAATTAACCACAAGATGACCATGACCATTTAATGACCATGAGCATTTCATGACCATGACACAGCTGTGAGGTGATCAAGGTCATGAGGTGACCATGACTTAACCATGGCCATGGGGTCATAAAGACCATGAGATGAGCCAGAGATGACCATGGCCATGCTACGATAATGGCCATGAAATGACCATAACAATGAGACAACCATGAGCATGAGATGATTGTGACCAAGAGATGACCATGAGATGACCACAACACAACCATGGCCATGAGACCATTGTGAGCATGAGGTGATTCTGAGATGATCATGACCATGTAATGACCATGACCGTGAGATAATCACGACCATGACCATGACAGGATCAAGACCATGACATGATAGAGACAATGAGATGGCCACAAGATAATCGTGTAATGACCATGACACAACCATGATCTCGAGATGACGATGGCCATGAGATAATGGTGATCAGGAAATGGCTGTGACCATGAGATGACCGTGACCATGACAGCCATGAGATGACCGTGATATGATTGTGGCCATGAGTTGACCATGAGATGATCATGAGATGACCATGAGCATGAGATGACCGTGACCATACAATGACTTTGACTGTGACCATGAGATGGCCATGGTCATGAGATGACCATTATAATGAGATGACCATGAATGTGAGACTACTGTAAGCATGTGATGACTGTGACCCAAAGATGGCCGTGAGATGGCTGTGCTCATGATCTGTTTGCAAATAGAGATGGGTTAGTGGGAGATGTGGGGGCTGGAGGCCACTTGGGGCAGAGTGATCATGAAATGATAAAATTCTCAATATTTGGTGAAGTCAAGAGGAACATTAATAAGACTTTTACACTGGACTTTTGGGGGGCAGACTTTGGGCTATTCAGGAGACTTATTTAGAGAGTCCTTGGGAAGTAGTCCTTAAAAACAAAAGAGTGCAGGAAGGGTGGGCATACTCAAAATTGAGATCTTAAGGGCACAAGAACAGACTGTCCCTTTGATCCAAAAGATGAGTTGAAGAGGCAAATGTCCTGCCTGGATGGGCAAGGAGGTTTTGGAGGAACTCAGGAATAAAAAAAGGATGTATTATCTTTGGAAGGAGGGTCAGGTCTCTCAGGAAGTATTTAAGGGGGCTTCTAGAGGATGCAGGAAAAAAAATTAGGGAGGCTAAAGCTCAGTTTGAACTTAAAATACTGACTTTTGTAAAGGATAACAAAAAATGTTTTATATGTATATTAATGTTGAAGAGTAAGAGCAACCTTTATTCTTTATCAGATGCTGAAGGGAACTTTATAACTGCAGATTAGAAGTCAGAGGTGCCTAATGCCTTCTTTGCCTCAGTTTTTAGTGAGAAGACTTGCCTTCAGGATAACTGTCCTCTTGGGTTGCTCAGTGGTATCAGGGAGCAGAATGGTCCCCCCATTATCCAAGAGGAGGCAGTCAGAGAACTGCTGAGCCACATGAATATTCATAAATCCATGGGACCAGATGGGATCCATCCCAGGGTGATGAGGGAGCTGGCAGATGAGTTTGTGAAGCCGCTCTCCATCATTTACCAGCAGTCCTGGCTCACTGGTGAGGTTCCAGATGACTGAAGCTGGCCAATGTGACACCCATTCAAAAAAGGGTGGGAAGGAAGATCCTGGTAATTATAGGCCAGTCAGTCTGACCTCAGTACCAGGTAATGTAATGGAAAAGTTCATACTGAGAGTCATCGCACAGAACTTACAGGATGGCCAGGGTATAAGACCCAGCCAGCAGGGGTTTTAGGAGGGGTAGGTCATGTTTGACCAGCCTGATCTCCTTTTATAGCCAGGTGGCCCTCCTGGTGGATGTGGGAAAGGCTGTGGATGTTGTGTACCTGGACTTCAGCAAGGCCTTTGACACTGTCTCCCACAGCACACACCTGGAAAAGCTGCAACCCATAGCTTGGGCAAGAGCACTCTGTGCTGGGTTAGGAACTGCTGGATGGCTGGGCCCAGAGAGTGGTGGTGAACAGTGCTGCATCCCGCTGGTAGCCAGTCACCAGTGGTGTCCCTCAGGGGTCTGTGCTGGGGCCAGTTCTCTTTAATATCATCATTGATGGTGTGGATGAGGGGATTGTCTTTCATTAATAAGTTTGCGGACAACACTAATCTGGGAGCGTGTGTCCATCAGGAGGAAGGTGAGAGGGTTCTGCAGACAGACTTGGAATGGTTGAATGGATGGGCAGAGTCTAACAGGATGACGTTTAATAAATCTAAGTGCTGAGTCCTACATTTTGGCTGGGGACAGTGTGGCTGGATAGTGTCCAGGCAGAAAGGGATCTGGAGGTGCTGGTCGACAGTTGGCTGAACATGAGCCAGCAGAGTGCCCTGGTGGCCAAGAAGGCCAATGGCTCCTGGCCTGGATCAGGAATGGTGTGGCCAGCAGGAACAGGGAGGTCATCTTTCCCCTGTACTCAGCACTGGTGAGGCCACACCTTGACTGCTGTGTCCAATTCTGGGCCCCTCAGTTTGGGAAGGATGTTGGGACACTCAAGAGTGTCCAGAGGAGGCAACAAGGCTGGTGAGGGGCTTGGAACACAAGCCCTGTGAGGAATGACCAAGGGACCTGGGGTTGTTTAGCCTAGAGAAAAGGAGACTCAGAGGTGACCTTATCACTCTCTACAACTTCCTGAAAGGTGGTTGTAGTCAGGTGGGGTTGGTCTCTTTCTCCAGGCAGCACTGACAGAATCAGAGGACACAGTCTCAAGCTGTGTCAAGGGAAATATAGGTTGGATATTAGGAAAAGTTTTTTTACAGAAAGGGTGATAAAGTTCTGGAATGGTCTGCCCGGGGAGGTGGTAGAGTCACCATCCCTGGATGTATTTAAGAAAAGACTGGAAGTGGTGCTCAGTGCCATGGTTTAGTTGAGGTGTTGGGGCATGGGTTGGACTCAATGATCTTTAAGGTCTCTTCCAACCTTGTGATTCTGGGAATTCTGTGACCATGAGATGGCCACGAGGTGACCATGATGTGATTGTGGCTATGAGATGAGCATAACAATGAGATGACTGAGAGGATGAGATGATGACTATCAGCAAATGACCATGACCATGTGATGGCCATGAGATGACTGTGATCATGAGATAACCACAACCATGACCCAACTACAGCTGAGAGATGACCATGATAAGATTGTGGCAACTGAGTTGAACGTGAGATGATCATAAAATTACCATGACAATGCAATGACCATGACCGTGACCATGACACAACCAGGACCATGGGATGACCATTACAATGAGATGACCATGAGCATGTGATAATTGTGACAAAGAGATGACCATGAGATGATCAAAACACACCATGTGTTGTGTTGTGTCTGTATAAGTTGGACTGTTCTGTTCCCCCCTATCATGTAATGGTTCTGCCCTGGTTCTCCCCTCCCTCCCTTGTACTGCCAGTTATCCCAACTCCTCCCCAGTTGCCTTGGAGATTAATGTTTCTTTCTCAAATCCCGCCCAGCCTTCTTTCTAGAGCTCTCTAGAAACTTCCAGCTGGACCGTCGAGTGATTGGCTCAGGGGCCAGGGCTCCACCCTCAAGTTATCCCCATTGGTGTTCTCCCTAAGTCAATCTTTTGTATCCCACTCCCCTCTGAAACCCTATTCGTCCAAGGACTGACTCCTCCCTTGTTTCCCTCCCTTCTTATAAGCTGTTACAACTTCCCCCTCTTCCTCTTCAGCTCTTGGTTTCCCGTGGGGCTCAATAAACCTGCATTCACCATAGCTGGGGAGCGCTCTCTTCTTTTTCTGCTGACTGTAGCCATAAGCCAAGCCACGTCCTACCACAAGGTAGCGCTGCTGTCATAGCACAGACCGTTTGCTTTAGGTGCTGTCCCAAACCACGGAGATTGGGATAGTGCCTTGTTACTGCTAGTTGTGCTGGATAGCTAGCCGGGACGTCCAAGAAGGACAATCTTTCTCCAGCTGAACCACTTCAGTTCTGGCGCCCAACGTGAGGCCTGAGGGCATCTCCAGACCCCACAGATGAGGCTGTAAGTCTCTTTGGCCATCAAACTACCCCAGAAAAGGCGACCCCTTTTTGGTGGGTGGTGCTCTGGGGGATTGGGAACAGCAGCTCCTCGCACTCGAGTCGTTCCCCCAGCAGAAACCATCGCTCCCAGATTTCTTTTGGCTTTCGCTGGATTGTAACTATTTCTCTCCCTGTCTTTCTATTCTGTTTATCCCTCGGTGCCGTGCAGCATTTTCCTCTGATGCTTTTCGCGCGCACGGTTTCACAACTGCGGCACGTTCTCTCCCTGCCCCTCCCCTGTGCAGCTTTTCAGCGCAGGGGCGTCTTTCCCACCACAGCTTTTCAGCGCGGGGTGGTTTTCCTGCCGCCGCTTCTTCAGCACAGCCAGCCCCCGCCGCTGCTTTTTCAGCGCGGCCAGCCCCTGCCGCCACTTTTTTGGCACGCATGGGCTCCTGCCGCCGTTTTCAGCGCGTGCAGCCTCCCGCCACCGCTTTTGGCGCATGCGGGCTCCCGCGGCCGCGGTGGAGCATTGGCATGGGCCGCTCTGAGCTCCCGTGTGGGGACCACGTGGCGTGGGGGGGCTGGCAGCCACCGCCCACCATTTTAAGAGCCGCGTGGTGTGGTGCGGGGGCTCCGCAGCTGCTGTTTGCCATTTTCTGCGTGGTGTGCTAGAGGGCTCACTTTGCTGCACAGCTTTCTCCTTTTTCTGACAGGGGCTGGTGTGGGGCTCTTCGTTCTTTTCTTTCAAGTTTTTCTGGGGCGGTGGGTGGACTGAGTCGCACCACATAATATCTTTATAATGGTTGCTCGCTTTTCTGCGGCTCAGAAGAGAGCTTTTACCCAAGTTGCAGGAATCCTTGTGGGGAGGGATGTTAAAGTTCAGAAAAAAGGCATTAAAAAAATTAGTAAAATGGCTGTTTTCCCAATTTCCAGAAATTTCCCCCAACCAAATTTATGACCCTGGTTTCTGGGATGTTGTTAATCATAAATTACAAGATTCTGTTAAGTCAGGGGACTCTTCTTTGTTAAAAATAATATTTTGGACTTCTCAAATTAGATCAGTGTTAAAATCCAGCTCAAAATTGGGAAGACAGTCATCTTTACAGACCTTAATCCCCAGTTCTCCCTGTTCCCCTGCTCCTAGCCCTTTTCCCTCCCCTGCTTGCCCTAAAAGTGGGATTTTGAGAGAAGCAGCCCACTCCAGCACAGCGCAGGGTGTCCACCATTCCCCTGGCTCCCCTCAAAGCTCCCAATCCCCCTGCCCAAGGAGTCCTGGCCAGACTCTTCGGGGTTCCTTTCCTTCCCCCTCTAACCCAGTTAATAAATCCCCTGTTTGTAAACCCTCAGTTCGGTTTTGTCTCCCTTCCCAATATGGCTCCCATGGAGCACAAGATGGAGGGAGCCACATGGTTTTTCCCTCCCTTTCTCTTCTTCATCCCACAATCCTTTTTGTTCCCCAAAAAACCCCTTCCTGTCCCTAGACTCCTCCCAAATTCCTTCCACCCCTCCTCCCTTTGTAGTAAACCCCATAAGTTTGGGAAAAGCACCATGGAGAATACGAACTATAGGAATGCTGAAACAGCAAAAGAAAATTCCTTTTTCCCTGTCCTCTGCCCTTCACCTATCTCTGTAACCCTATAAGGCAATGTCATGTTAACCCCTTACCATTAGTCAAGCTTGGATCCTTTCCAACCCTATAAAAGAAGCATACTGTACCCCATTAGTTGGAAGAAGAAGAGCAGAGACCCTTCATGGACCTCCCCAAATAAAGCCATCTCCGTGGAACAGCCTGCGCCTTCTCCTCTCTCTCCGTCTGCTGCAGCCTCAAGGCTGGGGCACCACTACCTAGCAAGCAAAGCTGAAATCCTGAGAGCTTGCAATCACTATAGAGCTGATAATCACCATGCTTGCTAGATGGTAGCCCCGTGGCGTTGGCATGAGCGAGCGAGCTTCAGGCACCCAGTCCCTACTCAGGGACTGAGCTCCTGAGCCCTAGTGCTCTGCTTTATGATAAGGCTGATCGGAGGCTTTATCACTGGGCTGGGTTTGCAGCCCGTCTTCATGTGGGATCTCTGGGGCTTTTCGTCCCCATTGGATTCCTGCACCTTGGAGCCGTTCCAAATGGCCTCTTCCACGAGGTTCTGTGGCAGGGATTTGTTCTCCCTGGTCTCTGTCCACAGCTCAGTGCCTGGGGGAGGAAGGACAAGGAGAGGAAGAGACTGGGAGAAGGGAAAAAGGAAAAGGCAGAAGGAGAGGAAGGAAGAAGAAGGAACAAGGGAGGAAGGAGATGGGAAAGGAACGTGGATGGATGTAGGACAGAATGAGGAGAGGAAGGAGGGTGGACAAGGAGAAGATGGGATTTGCCTCCATGCCAGAGGGAAGGGGAAGGAGATCCCCCCAGTCCATCCCTGGCAGGATGGCGTTGGCAGTGAGGCTGTCCTGCAGCAATGCTGGGCTGGGAGATGGAGCAGCAGGGAGGGGAAAGGGGCAGTGATTCCTCCTCCCCTGCCTGGCTGTCCCAGTCTGGAGCGTCCTGGCGCTGCCGAGGCCCTTGGAGCATCCGGCACTCAGGAGCCCGGAGCTCACGGCTGCTTTATAAAGCTGACAAAGTCGGCAGGATGGGTCTGGGTATGATCTCAGCAAACTGGGTTTATTGGTACAGGAACAGGGGACAGAGCTGAACAGGGTCCAGGCACAAAGACAGGGTGCAAGCCGAGGGCACAGGGGGTTTTTATATGGGGTAGTGAGGGTGGAGCTGAGGGTCAGGGTCCAATGGATATGGGGGAAAATGGAGCAAAGGAGGGGTTAAGGGTCGGGCCAGCTAATAGGGAAACGGGGGCAGAGGAATGCAGTAAACTGGGGCCAATGGAGGGACAGAGAGGGAGAACATTCTAGGGGCTAACCAAAGATGGGTAACAGGGGGTGAACTTGGGTAATTAGGCCAATGGTCCAATGGGGTAACATAACTTTCCATAAATCAGCATGTGCCTGAGCAAAGATCTATGGGAGAAGCAAGCTTCTCACCATAACCTTGAAATCTATTCTTCTCTTTGGGGACCAGTCCTCCATAGCTGTGGAATTGAGACTCTGATGGTAGAGTCCTGGGCCTCCACACCAGTACATCTTTCTTTTCCTTGCAGCCTCCTCCTCCGCCGCCCAGACAAAATTTAGGATTGACAAATCTGGCTTAGGAGAGCAACAAGGGGTGAGCACCTTGGGTTTTGTGATAAAGGAACCTCACTCTTTAGAATTTTTAAAAGTTTAATAAGGAATAATAAGGGACAAATCAGTAACAGTGCTGGGTGTTGGCAATGGCCAGAGGCACACCGGTTAACCACAGCAACTCTTCTTGTCTACTTTTTCCATTGTATTGTTGAAATACATATTCATAATGATTGTACATATTCAAACATTTCTTTGAACTCATTTACATGTTCCAGGAATTCTTTAGGTTGGTTTGACCCCCAACTCGCCTTTTTAGAGCACGTGCAGGAATCGTGGATTGCTGTTTTGAGGGTTGTGTGTCACTGCCTCACAAGGGCCCCTGTTCTGTGGTTTCAGCAGGTGACAGTTATTGACAGTGGAAGGGTCAGTGGCAGGGGTCCTCATCACATCCCTTCCTTAAATGTTGTCTGACCATGCAGACGCTTTTAGCTATTTCCACAAGTCCTTTAAGCCAACATTAGCTATTTCACAAATATCTCTGAGTGCTTCTCGTTGTTGTCAGTTAGTCAGAAAAATAAAAGCATTAGTTCTTATTTCACAACTACGGCTACTTCTGTAAAAGTTAACATTCTAATGCACAACACATGGCATCCACTTTAATATTTTGCAAAAGCCAAAACTATAATGTATGTTTTTCACACTGTCCTCAAACTGAAATATCATCCATAAATGATGTTCTGAGGATATGAGCTACACAGGGGCCAGGGCATTGGCCACAAAAAGCTGACAAATTATACTATAGCAAAAGCAGTGAAAAGTGATTACAAACTGTACTATATCAAACTCGTTGTGATTAAGAATATTTTGCAGAAGTCAATACATAATAGCAAAAGCCAGCACTACCTAGTTATTTATAACAAACCCAGGGCAGGTTTTTCCCTTGCATGGAGCACCTGGGCCTTCCCCGGGCCCCTTCTGCCCTCCTGCAGAGCCGGTGGCATTTTCCAGCACACACAGTTTGTAACCAAGAGCCGGGTGCAGCCGAGAAGGCTCCAAGCGCCTCCTTCCAGGCTGACTCTGCAGGTGCCGAGGCTGCTCTGGGCTCTGCCAGGGCTCTGCTGGGGCTCAGCTCTGGGCCAGGCTGGGCCCGCCCTCCCCTCACATTGCTCCGGGCAGCTGAGTCACAGCAGGAGAGGGAAGGGACACGTCAGGGGAGTTGAGGTTTAAGAGCGTTTTTATTCAGAAAACTTTCATAACAAACAGGCTGCTCTAACTACCATAACTAACTAGCAATGCTAACTACCCTAACTAACTGCCAGTGCTAACTACCATGACTAACTAGTTGTCCTAACTACTGTAACAAGAAGCTGTTCTCAAGTGCTTCATCTCCTCCACTGCTCCCTCAGTTGCTTTGCTGCAGTGATCAGAGGTGTCAGGCTGGAGAGAGGCTTGGCTGATGATAAAAATGGGTGCTGTCCAAAGGATAAAAAATAAAGAAATGAACGGTTACTTTCCCGAGTCAAGTTCCTCACAGGCTCTGTTGCAACAGGACAAAGGGAAATGGTTTGAAAATCGAGGGAAGCAGGCTCAGATTAGATCTAAGGAAGAATTTTTTAACCAGGAGAGTGGGGAAACACTGACAGGAGGTGCCCAGAGATATGGGAGGTGCCTCCTGCCTGGAAACATCCAAGCTCAGGTCAGGCAGGGCTCTGAGCCCCCTGACCTGCTTGAAGATGTCCCTGCTCGCTGTGGGGCACCAGGTCCAGATGAGCTCGAAAGGAGCCTGCCAGGCCACAGCAGGCGAGGATTCTGCTCGCTCTGCGCGTGGAACGCAGCGAGACTGGAGACTATCGGAGGGGGCCCCACAAGAAAACCCCTCCCTGGCGCTGCTGCTTCCCCTGCAGCCCTTGGCTCTCACCTGCAGCAGCTCCTGGGCAGCCCAGCGCCGCTCCTCGTCCGGCTCCAGGCTGCACTCGAGGAAGTCCCGCAGCAGAGCCGACAGGCGCCGGGGCTCCTGCAGCTGCGGGGTCCCGTTCTGCCGGATCAGAGCGCGAGCCTGCAGGGAAAGCAAACTCAGCGCTCTGCCAGCTTCCTTCACACCCACACGGGCTCACATCCACCCCGGGGCCTCAGCCCCAGCGCCAGGGGCACTTTCCTCCCTGCCAGAGATGCTGCTCAGAGCTCATTTTGCTATGCAAACCAAAAAACCCAAACCCTGGGGCTGCCACAGCCACTGCAACATCCAAATGATCTCGCCTTGAGAGCCAGTTTCATTGGCCGGCTTTGTTAGTAGGAACCTCCATCAGAAATAGCCCATTTTGCTTCTCCAAATATGGACACCAGCTTTACAGGCCATTTTCCAGATTCAGTGTGGTCTGCCTGTGTTATTTCAGACGATTCTTCCATCAAGTGCATCTCTGCAGCGCCACTGACACTCAAGTAAATGCATTCCTGATGCCCCATCCCAGAAACTGCCAGGCAAGAAACAGGAGGTTTGTGATGCTGAAAGCTCAGGCTTGGTGACACAGAAAAAGTAGTTTGGACTAGGAAAGAAATGTGTTGGACTATGGGGATGTTAAACCATCATCTTCATGTTTTCAACAAGTTTCCCAGTGAGAAGAATCAGGGGAGATCATCTTGCAAAACCTCTTTTAGAAACTCCTGCAGAAATCTTGTTGGGTTTGGGGCTGGGATTTGGGGATGGTGTGGGGTTTTCTTGCAAGATAACATTAGAGCTAATGCATTTGCTTCATATTTCCAGGTCATCCTCACAGCCAGAAGAGCTGCAACAACGAAAAGCCCAAAGGAAATTGTTGCTGGAGACTGCAGAACATTCGTCTGTGTGGAGGCTGGAGTCCTCTGGGAATTCCCTTCCCATGTGCAGAAACCTCCAGCTGCTGCTCCCAGTGCAGGGTCCCCCTGTGCTCGCAGCCTCTGCAGCCACTGGAGAATTTGCCTCTTACCATGGCCGCCGTTTCCCTGAAGTAAGGAGGTTCTCCTTCCACCATCTCGATGGTCACAATGCCGAAGGACCAGATGTCCACCTTGGGGCCATAAGGAGATCTGGTCACAACTTCTGGGGCCATCCAGTGAGCAGTGCCCACCATAGAGCTGCGCTGGTCCTGCTCAGGGCTGAGCTGAGCGCAGAGGCCAAAATCAGCTGAGGACAGAAACAAACCCTGTCAAAGGCAGCTGCAATGAGGAAACCAAGCACAAAGATTCCCCACTCTCAGTCTGAGAATGCAGTAGTGAAGTCAGCTGAAAAAGTCCTCAGGGCTGTAGCCAAGGAAAGATGGAACTGGACCCTTCAAGAAACCCTCAGCTTTCCTTCAGTGGCTTTTACTGATTCCCTTGGAGCTTTAGATTCCCACTGCTGGCCCTCTGGAAGGGCCATGGCCAGAGCAAAGGCACTGCTGGCCCCCTGCTCCTCTCCTGAGCTCTCTGCAGGGGCAGCCGCTCTCAGCTGGCAGCAGGGGCCGGGCAGTGCCCCCAGCAGCCCTTGTGGGGCTCTGGCCCTCCCTGGGAAGCAGCCCCAGCCCCGCAGCCCGGGAGCGCCGTGCCTGGCCAGGAACACCCACCCAGCCTGACAGAGCCGTCCATGCCCAGGAGGATGTTGGAGCTCTTCAGATCCCTGTGGATCACCCGGTTGGAATGGAGGAAATCCAGGCCCTGCAGACACTGAGAGAGAACAAGAAACACGAGGGCAAAAACCAATGGCTGGAATATATCACACCAGAAAGGACAGCTCAGAATTCTGCCAGCAGCAGCTTTGTTGTGACAGGCCAGGAGTGCAGTGCACACAAGCTCCAGGCAAACGGTTCAAGGCAAAGCTGAGAACAGCAAATCAAATCCAAACCAGAAAGAGAGTACCACAACAGCAGGAGAGAGAACAAGAGCAGAGTAGAAGTGCAGTGATGCTGGCAGGCTGTTCACTGCAGAGGCTCTTTCTTCTCCAGCTCATGAAAACAACTCAGAAACAAAGCCCTGAGCATGGAGCCACTCCTGTTCTCACGCCCTCTTTGGAAGGACCATCGTGTCCCAGCCATGGGAGTGACAAGCAGGATCCCTCACCTCCCGACTGACAGCTGCCATCTCTCCTTCAGCCATGCGTGTCTGTCTGACAACGTCCCGCAAAGTTCCTCCATCCATATATTCCATCACCAGGCAGAGATCTCCATCCACAAGGAAGCTGGAAGAGGAAAACAATGGCATGGAGATGAAAGTGCAGAGCTCAATTCCCCCATGGAAAAGCCTGGAGTGGAGTTTTGTTTCCAGGTCACTTGTCAGTGAGGACAGAATCAGATGGAGAGACATTCCTGCCAGGCTGCACAGCCCTTGGAATCTGCACAGTCTAAAGGAGACGGAGACACCTGTGAGAAAGGAGAGGCTTTGGATGGCAAGCAGGTGAAAAATGCAGTTTAGCAACAGCCCAGATCAATATGGAATCACAACACTTGGCCCCAGCTGGTTCAGATTCTGAACTCATCAGTTCCACCATTCCCTCCAGAACAAGGCAACACAACTGCCAGGGTTATCCAGGGGAGGAGGCCGTGCAGCACTTGGGACAAAAGCAGTCAGAAAACCTTTCAGAAAGTCCCTTCAGAAACAGGCAAGGCCAGTGAAAAATGGGCAAATGAGTCATTTCTGGAAACAAGAACTTGGTCTTACTGGCATTTTTAGCAATGGAAAAGGGCTGGGAAGAAGAAGCCAAGGGAAATAATTTCTGCTGTGGTTTATCAGCACTTGCTGGGAGACACAGCAAATGGGGTCAACTTGAAGGAAAAACCAAAGCAAAGCAACAAAAGCACATGGAGGGAGTGAACTGCCAGGCTGTTGGTTTGGGAAGATGTGGCTGGGTCAGGCATTTTCAAAACAGGCTACAGACTCCTGATGCCAGGAAAGGTTAACGCAGGGCCTGGGCTCGGGATCAGAGCTGAATCACTCACCTGTCCAAAGAGTTGACAATGTTGGGGTTCTTCTTGTCCTTCAGGAGCAGGATCTCATTCACAGCTCGTTCCCTGTTCTGCCCTCTGAGACTCATTTTCTTGATGGCCACCTGAAGGGACATTGCAGCCTTGAACTGGAGGAGTCTGTGGCAGGAGGCCACAGCAAACACGGAGCGAGTCTTTGTGGAGCAACAGAGCCGGGCTGTGCCAAACTGCCTTGGGATGGGACACCAGAGCTCAGCAAGGGCCATTCCCACAGCCCATTGCTCTGCCAGCTGGGGGCTGCTTACAGGACACATGGCCAGAGACATTTGGCCTTGCAAGCTCTGCAGAAATGGTCCCTCAGCTGTCAGCCTCAAAGCTCTAACAACATTCTCTGCACCTACAGTCTTCTCAAATGGCCTCAACACTCTTATTATTCAAACCCATTTTGCAAGCAGGAGGTAATTCTGGTTCTCTGAAAACAAAGCAGAACAGCCAGGAACCCCTTAGCAATTCTATGGGATTTGGTCATGATTTCAGATGCAACTGCTCTCTTTGGGATTGCAGAACAAAGCAGACACGCACACCCATTGCTCAGGTGATCCCTGTCACAGGCTGTCACTGACACCAGACCCAAACACAACCTGGAGGCTTTAGGAGAGAGCTTTGCTCTGGACATCCATCTTCTCATTTCTCTCCCTCTCTCTCTGTGAACAGCTGAAGTAGGACTAAAACCCCAAATTGAGCCCAAGCAGGATCTCTCCCTAATCAGGCCTTGAGGTATCCTTTGAAGATAAAAGGCAGGATGGACATAATATTGTTATAGTTTAGCTAAGAATAGCTAAATAATGTTCCTGTCTAAGGTTGGGATGAAGATAAATTGGGCCTCAGTCTCCAGCAGCTGATGCATTCACACTTTTAGATATGAAGGCCAAGCCAGCGTGTCCTGCTCTGACAGACACCGCTGCCCTCCTTGCATTCCTTTGGCGCTTCAGAAGGACCAAGTCTGTCCCAGCTGTGCTCTGCAGGCTGACACTGCTCTGCCTTCAGAGGAGCAGCCCAGGCAGGAAAGCTCTGCTGGCCCCCAAAGCTGCAGCCACAGCTCCCAGCAGAGGGGAAAGCCCTGGAGAGCTGCCAGGCGTGCTGGGCGTGTTGGCACTGACCTCTCCTCCAGTGGCCCTGTCGAGTCCTTTATAAACGGTTCCAAAAGCCCTGGAGAGAAAACAGCAGAGAAGAAAGAAGCAGCGCTTTAGGCCCTGGCAGTGAAAGCCGGCCCTGGCAGTGAAAGCCAGCCCAGACAGGAGATCTCTGCTGCCTGCAGCGTTCACAAACACCTGGGTGCATTGACCCTTCCAACAATAGCACAGCAGCCACCAGCCCTCTGCCATGCAAGGTGTGCAGGAGAAAACTGAGACCCAACATGAAGGAATTGGCCTGGAGCAAATCCCAAATATCCACCCTGAATTGCTTTAGTTCCAAAGCTAGGAGGATAAATGGGTGTCTAAAGAACTGGAAAAGAATGCATTTCATGCTTTTCCACTTCCTGCCTAAGACCTGCAGGTTCCACAAGGGCCCTGCCATCAGGCAGGTGATGCTTTTTCCCCCAGAGTGCATCAGCTCTGTGTCTGTTACTGAATGGATGGGGTCTGCTACCTGTGCTAGAATAGAGCACTTATTAGTTCATCTCTGGTTTCTGTTTCTAAACCATTAGGTTGATAATCCTGACCAGTGGATATTTTTTGAAGGAAAATATTTGAAAGAAATCTTCTTGAGAACTGTTTTCTGACAATCACCAGATGGTGAGTTGCTCTTTTAGGCAATCCAGTTCCAGGGACAGAAGATCTTCCAGGTCCTGCTCCTTGCTGCAGGCAGGACACTGCCAGCCTCAGGGGCCTTTGACGGCACCTTCTGACCACAGTTATCAATTCTGATCAGGACTGAGAGACAGCAGGATGGTAGCCCAGTGTCTGAAGCTGCTTGGAGCTCTCCTGACTTCTCACTTGATCCTGCACCAGCACAACACCCGGCCCTGCTTGTGCAGCAGCAGCTGCCGTGCACTTACCCTTGGCCAATCTGCTCCACTTCCAGGTATTTCTCGGCAGGCTCCGCCTCGCTCACGGTGTTCCCTGAAAGAAACCACGTGGAAGACGCTCCCTCCCAGAGTGAGACCCTGCCTTGCAGCAGAGCCACAACCAGCCCCACTCCCTGGGGCCGTGAGCCCCTTGGTGTCAGCCGAGGAAGGACAATAAATGGCTCAGTGATATTCAGCTGCAGAGCAACACTGGGTGCAGCTGATGCTGAGACACACACACAGCACCTGCTCGGGCACCCAGGAACAGAGCAGACGTACTCAGCTGCATCAGGCACCACTCCCCTCTCCCCTCTGGCTGCCCAGCTGTGCTGCTGTCAGAATGTTCAGCCCAGGATCCCACAGCGGAGGGAGGTTCATTGTCCTCTTCCCAAGCAGAGGGAGCTTCTCCATCCTCTTCCGAAAATGCTGCAGCTTCTCCATCCTCTTCCCAAAATGCTGCAGCTTCTCCATCCTCTTCCCAAAATGCTGGAGGTTCGCCATCCTCTTTCCAAGCCAGGGGATGTTTGCTGTCCACTTCCCATGCTGGGAGATGTTCACTCTCCTCTTCCCAAGCCACAGGATATCCTCCATCCTCATCCCACACTGGGAGATGTCCATTGTCCTCATCCCACTCCGTGGGAGCTTGGCCACTCTGGTCCCACACCAGGGGACATCCACCGTCCTCGTCCCAGGCCGGGAGATGTCCCCTGTCCTTGTCCCACCCCGCGGGAGCCTCGCCGTTGCATTCCCACCCCGCGGGATGTTCGCCCTCATCTCCCAGAGCAGCAGGAAGTTCACTGTCATCTCCCAGCACTGAGGGAAGTTCACCATCGTCCCCCAGAGCAGCGGGAAGCTCACTGCTGTCTTCCTCCTTGTTGACCTCCTCTTTGGAAGCAGAGGGAGCCCCAGGAGGTGCTGGTGCTGCTTCTGTGCCCTGTGGACAGACGGCAGCGTGAGGGACAGGAAGTTCTATCTCAGTTATCACCTTATTTATCCTCAGCTGCACATCCAGCTGCACTAAGCAGAAATTGGGTTTGGAGCTGTTCCAACTAACAATAGGCTGAAGTCGACATTGCCACTTATTGTTGGGAATTCGATATTCCACCATGGCTAAAGCCAGCAAGCAATCCTCTGCCTGCAAAACCAGACCTGCAGCTCTTCAAAAGCTCTTCAGCAGAAAAGGAGAAAACTGATGGGAATTCCTTTGCTGCTGCTGCTGCTGCTGCAAAGACACTGACAGGACCTTTCCTTCAGCCTCCCAGGCTGGCCCTCGACTGCCACATGCCGAGCTCACAACTTGCTGCACAATTCCAAACACCAAAGGTTCCTTTCCCACTCACCGAAGGAGGAGCTGCTCGGAATCCAGACATGAGGTGCCCTGCAATGGGAGAGGGAACATGAACCAGATGCTGTTAGGAGAAAAACTGCCAGTGGTGGGAAATGCCATGGAGCAAGGCAACCCCAAGAGAGCATTTTGCTTTCACTGCATCCCTCCAGGAGCCACAGTCCCTTCCCACAGCAAGCAAGAGAACAAGCACAAAACACTGGGCTGGGTCAGTTCTTGGCTGGAGCAGCAAAGGGAGGCAGTTCCAGGCTCTGCTGGCACAGACTCCCTGCTTGAGGGAACAGAACCCCCCAGGGCTCATTGCAGGTGCTGTGCACGCCCCGCTGGCTGCAGACACCCCTTTTTCAGCTGCAGCTGCTGGCAGGAGCTCTCCCAAAGCAATGGTGTCTTCATGGCAATTTGGTTCCAAAGTCAACTCAGCTCCAGAGGAAGAACAGAAAGCACACAGCAAGCCCAAAGCCACAGATGCTGCACCGAGGGAAAACCTCAACTTACGTGCCAAGTGGGTTAAAAAATACCCCGAATAAGCCACAGAGTACAGAGTGCAAACTGCAGCAGCCACGTGCTGGATCATTTTGGCTGCGCTGCACACTCCTGCAGCCTGTAGCCCTGCAAGCACAGAAGGACAGGGCTGGGCTGGCTGCTGAGAATGCCTCGGGCAGGAGGATCCTCCGGCAGCGAGCCCAGAGCCACTCTGGGCACTGAGGCCTCCGTGTCCCACAGCAACGGGAACACCACGGGGACGTGGCGCTGTTCCTGTGACATCCCAGCAGCAGCTCACGCAGAAACCGCCTGGAAGGTTCTCCTGTGTCACAAAGGAGCACAAAGAACCCTCCCAGGGCACAGCCCATGGCCCAAAGGATGCAAGAGGAACTCGGAAAATGCAGCAAACAAGGACACCCCATAGCCCAGCCTGAACACTGAGGAGAACAAGGACAGGACCAAAGCAAAGGAAACGTGACCTTTAGTCACTGATAGTTCTGACTAAAAGCAGCAAGCCTTGTTCCATCTGGGATCTTTGTTCTAGTTCTAAAAACAAGCAAGGTCCTCCACTCTAAATACACAGAAGGCAGGAACTGGGGAGGAGGTGGGATTAGGAAGGAGGAGGAGGAGGAGGGAGAGAAGAAAAGGAGGAGCAGGAACAGGAGGAGCAGGAACAGGAGGAACAGGAGGTTCCAGTGCCCCCCGTGGCCGCAGCCACGGGACCATCGCCCCCACCTCGTCTTGCAGCTCAGTGGGGAGGGGGAGCTCATCCCAAATCTATTGGGGGGTCCCTGAGAGGGTTTTTATTGGGGTGTGTTTGGAGCTCGCAGATTGTGGAATTGACCCCAAATATCATCTGGTGTCTCTGGGAGGGTTTTTTTTCTCTGTGTGTGTAGGTTTGGATTTTGCAGGAGCCCAAAGCTGAGCCCCTTGGGGGATCTTTGGGGGCCCACGTGGCCATTGCCCAGTATGGGCAGGGGAGGACATTGGTCCTGGGGACTGCCGGGAGAGCAGAGGAGGGGAACCCCTGGGACCCCCAGAGTGGGGAGAGCAGAGAGGGGCAATCCCAGAGCTGGGGGACCCCGGCAGACTGGAAAGGGGGGGAGCCTGGAGAGGAGGGACCCCTGGGATCCCTGGGATCTCAGAGTAGAGCATCAGGGGAGAAGGGCCCCCATGGACCCCCAAAAGCCCCTGAATCATCCCTGAGCAGGACGCCAGAGAATGGAGAACCCCTGGAACCATTGGACCCCCATGATCCCAAGAAAAGGAAACCTCTGGGACCCCAAAAGTGGAGAGATCAGCAATAGGGAACTACTGGGAGAGGGTTTTTTTGGCTGAATGTTGATATTGTGGAGATTTTCATGGACACAAGACTCCTGCTGACTTCTAGAGATGGACCTGGCCAGGAGGAGCCTCTACTCCAAGGCGCTCCCACATTGGTTTCCCCAAACCAGGATCTGTCATTCCCAAGCTGTGGCCAGATGGAGGAGGAGGAAAAGCCCCAGACATTCCGCATGAGGAGGGGCTGCAAACCCAGCCCAGGGAGCTGCAGGGAGGAAAGAGCCCCCCTGAGCCAGGAAGGCGGCCGGAGATCCAGCCAGAGCTCAGAGCTGGTGGAGAAGCCTCATGGCAGGGAGAAGCCCCACAAATGCTTGGAATGTGGGAAGGGTTTCAGCTACAGCTCCACCCTGATGGAACACCTGAACATCCACCCTGGGGAGAGGCCCTGGGAGTGTGGGGAATGTGGGAAGAGCTTCAGTGGGACCTCCGACCTGAGCAAGCACCACAAGATCCGCACTGGGGAATGGCCCTGTATGAGTGCTTGGAATGTCAGAGGAGCTTCAGGTGGAATTCAGAGATCGTCACTCACCAGCACTTGCACACCAGGGAGAGGCCCTGCGAGTGTCCCGAGTGTGGGAAGAGCTTCGTGTGCTGCTGCAGCTCCATCCCCCATGGGAGGATCCGTGCTGGATGATCCCCAGTGACCCCCGTTGGGCAGAGCCCTGGTGATCCCCTTCCAAGTGATCCCCGTTGGGTGGGGGGAAGGTGTTGGAGAGATTTCTTCCCCTTCTCCTTGTGCTGCTGTGATTTGGTTGGTAATAAATTCCCTCCGTGTGCCCAGGCCGGGTCTGTTGTGCCCGTGCCGGATTTGCTGAGGGATTTCTCCCGGTCCTTGTCCCCAGCCAGGAACCCTCGGTTCCATTTTCTGTCCCTGTGCGGCTGCGGGGGCAGGGACAGAGCGGCTCTGGGGGTGCCTGGCATCGGGCCAGCGTCACCGCTCGCCACAGGCACCGCTGAGATCCCGCGCCCCTGGGCACGCATTGCTGGGCTCACCTGAGCTCCCACCCGCCCAACGCCCCAAGGTTCCCCCTCCCTGGAAATGCCCCACCCGGGGCTGCAGCGTCTCAGCCAATCAAAACACAGCCAAAACGCGCCGCAGCCAATGAGAACGCGGGGCGTTGAAGAGTCATCAGTTGTGTGGCGGAGCCTCTGAGATCGAGTCCCCAAAAGTGACGGCAGCCAATGAGAGCGCGCGGCGCTGCCGAGCCCGCCCTGCTCCGGACTGGTGCTGCCAGCGCAGCGCGGCTGCTTTGGGGCTGCTGCTCCCTGCCCGGCCCCGGCCATGGGGCGAGGGGCGGCAGCTGGGGCCCTACTGGTGGCACTGGTGGTGCTGGGAGCCCCCCCGACTGCGGGCGCGGAGCTCTCGGGTGAGCGGGGTCGGGAGGCGCTGGGACAGGGGGGGAGAAGGGGGAAAAGGGAGCGAAGGGGGAGACCGGAATGGAGGGGGAGGAGGAGGGGACCCCCCAAAGGGAGAGCGGGAGGGGCTGAGGATTGGGGGGAGGTGAGGGAGGGGTGGGAGACGGTGGGAAAGTGGGGAAAAGGGGAGAGTGGAACCCCAAAACTAAAATGGAGGGGGCTAGGGATTGGGGGGAGTTGAAGAAAGCGTGGGAGAGGGTGGGGAAGTGAGGGAAAAGGGGGGGGGTGGGACCCCAAAACTGAGCCCGAGGGGGCCGGGGATTGAGGGAAAAGAGTGGGAAAGGGGAGAACGGGACCCCGAAAGTGATTTGGAGAGTGGCTGGAGGTGGGAGGGGAGAGGATGTGAAAGGGGAAATAGGGGAAGGGTGGGAAAGAGGAAATGGCAGCGTGGGCAGGAGGGTCCTATGGCGGCCGTGGGGCACAGGGGGTGGAGAGTGGGGATCCGGGGTGGCCCCTGGAGCTCTCGAGGTGCTGGGGGTGCACCCCTGAGCTGTGTCCTGCACACATAGGGGTGTTCCAGTGGATTGCAAAGGGTGAGTGTTAACTTCATTAACGGCACCGAGAGAGTGCAGTACGTGGAGAAGAACAGCTACAACCGGGAGCAGCTCCTGCACTTGGACTGCGACGTGGGGCACTTGTGGGGTTCACCCCCTTTGGGGAGAAGGTGGCCGGGTACTGGAACAGCCTCCCAGATTTCCTGCGGCCAAAAGGGACTGCGGTGGACTTGTACTGCCGGAGCAACTACGAGGTGGCCGCCGTGTTCCTCACGGAGCGCCGTGGTGATCGCGGGGCAGAGCGTGTCCCCTCAGGCCCTGCCCTGGCAGTGACCCTGGAGTCCCTCAAATCCTCCCTGGGAATCGCCCTCAGCCCTCCTTGTGCCCATCCCCAGCACTTCCCTCCGGGTCCAACCCAGTGACCCCAGTCTCTTCCATTCCATTCCATTCCCAGTCCATCCCAGTCTCTCCCAGTGACTCCTGGCGTGTCCATCTCAGCCTAGCGTGCCTAGCTGACCCTCAGCCAATCAGAGCACGTCTCTCTGATGACTCCCCTGTTGCCAGGCAGACCAGCAGCGCTGAGTGCCCCGCGCTGGACTCGGCCTCCCAGTGCCGCGCACGTCATTCCCAGTTCCTCCCAGTTCCGCCCCAGTCCCTTCCACTCCTTCTCAGCCCATTCTCAGTCTATTCCAGTTCACTCTAGGACCTCTACCCTCTCTCCCAGTGCCCCCCCATCTCTTCCAGTCCGTCCCAGTCCATCACAGTCCAATCCCAGTCTCTCCCAGGCAATTCCCAGTCCATTTCCAGTCTCTTCTACTCCATTCCCAGTCTCTCTCAAGGCCATTCCACCCCTCCCCTCTCTCTCCCAGTTTCCCCCAGCTGATCCCAGTGTGTCCCCGCTCTCTCCCAGTGCCCCTCACCGTGTCCATCTTGCTGGTGCCCTCGAGCTCCCAGCCCGGCCCCAGCTGCCTGCTCTGCTCCGTGGTGGATTTCTACCCTGCTGCCATCCAGGTGAGGTGGTTCCAGGGCCAGCAGGAGCTCTCGGAGCACGTGGTGGCCACCGATGTGGACCCCAACGGGGACTGGACCTACCAGCTGCTGGTGCTACTGGAAACCACCCTCAGTGCGGGCTCACCTGCAGCTGCCAGGTGGAGCATGTCAGCCTGGAGCAGCCCCTGAGCCGGCACTGGGGCACGGGGGAGCCCCTGGGCACGCTGGGAGAGCCACTGGGATGTTCTGGGAGCAACTGGGAGGGAGTTGGAGAGAGCCTGGTTGAAACTGGAGAGGGGCTAGTGGGTCTGGAAGGGCTGAGAAGGGATTTGGAGGATGCTGGGGAGGGTAGGATGGGGTTGAAGGGTACTGGTGGGCAGTGGGAGGGAATTTGGGTGCTAGGTGTAATTGGGAGGGATTTGAGTGGGCCTGGAGAGGCTGGAGGGAGATTGGGGATGGCAGGGGTTGGACTGAGGTTGTCCTGAGAAGAGACTGGGAGGAGTCTGGGTGTGTCCTGGTGGGGCTGGGAAGGAACCGAGAGAGGGTTCAGGGTCCCAGGGTGGTGGGAAGCAACTGGAAGGGGGTTGTGGGATCCTGAGAAGGATGGGAGAGGCTTTAGTGGGTCCTGGGGAGGCTGGGAAGGGACTGGGGGAGGTTTCAGGGGGTCCTGGGTGGGCTGGGGGTTACTGGGAGGGTGCTTGGAGGGGCTTTGGGTGCGCAAGAAGGTGAGGGGGGGTCTCAGGGATCGTGTCCCCCCTCTCCCGGAGTGTGTGCGTTCCCACCAGGGCCCCCCAGCCCGGTGTCACCCCCTTTTCTCTGCCCACAGAGCTCCTGAGCCGCTGGTGGCCGC